AAGTGACTAGACTACTCTGTTTCCAATTCCACTTATCGCTACAGCGAGCAGGACAGCCTCCTGGCACTGCCAGAGGCTCGAGTCTAGTAGTTGCAACTGCAACTGCAAGGACTGCCAGCTGGTAATGAATGCAACTTGCATTCACTCCAAAGTGCAATGGGGCCAAGGCTTTCAACCTAAGCCCCACGCTACAATTCTCTCCCAAGCCTTGCTCACAACTTGCAAACAGACAATATGGATATTTTCAAGATACTATCTTGCAACATCAGTTTGGTCCACTGTACCAAATTTTGGGTACACCGTACCATAATTCAAAATTCATTTTTCCTTGTGCCTACAACCATACAGGTTGAGCCATGGATACACAGGCCGCTGACCTTGTAAATCTCACTACTTTAAGGCAACTGCCATAATAGTAGGAATCTTACTCACATCGTGGCTGCCAACTTGACACAGAAAGCTCTCTAGCTCGAGGTCAGCTTCTGAAAAGCTGTCGCCAACTTGGCGTCCTCGGCAGCTTCCACGTAGGTACGTATTAGCGCAGGTATATCCTGTGCTAGAGACTTTAAAGGCTCCCAAGAGTCCTCGATAGTCTCTAAGCCGCACCAACTCACTAGGAGCTCGTAGGCCTGTTTCTGTTCGATCCAACGATGCTTGTTAAGTCGGTTAACTTTCACCACGATGCCTTGGGAGGCAACGCGCTCAGATAGTTCCTCCGTAACTTCCAAGTCACTGTCTGCGTAGAACTTCAATCGTGAAGCGTGCACATCTTGCTCCTTGCCTGTAATCAGGTGTCGAACGCGAAACGAATGCGAGTCCGCACGGGTAACCACGTAGGGGCCGATCCATGTTACTAGCAGTTTGTTGTGTCGTCGATCATCGACACGTGATCGTAGGACGTAATCACCCACAGAAAAGTTTACTTCTTGTGCACCTCTGTACTTTCTCTTGTTCAGTAATGTGATCTTCTCACGCTTGTCCTTGACGGCACAGTGCATGTCCTCAATACTAGACCGTAGATTCGCCAGAGACTTTTTAATGGCTGCACTCGAAATAGAGATTGTCTTAGGTTGATCATCAGGTACATGCAGGATATAGGCTGGTGTTGGGGCTGGTAAGCCAGTGAACACCTCAACAGGAGCCTTGTGTGCAAGAGAAGCCACCGGAGAATGGTTCATGTTAGCTTGCACCAAAGGTATCAGGTAGATCCAGTCGTTGTGAGAAATCTGATACTCCATTATCATTGCACGTAGCACTTGCAGTACATCTCTATTTGCACGTTCAACGGATCCATTGATCCACGGGCTGTATGCCACTACGAACTGCTGTTCACACTTCAGCCGCTTGCATAGCTCTGCAAGTACTTGGTTCTTGAAGTGCGAGGCACTGTCACTGGCCCATATCGGTGGTAGACCGAACCGACTGTGCCATCCAAGCAGGCCATCAACTGCAACCTCACTTGTTGGTGTATCACACGCAATCAACTCGCAGAAAAGGGTAAAGTTGTCCTTCAGCAGTAGTAGGTACTTGCATGAGCCAAATCCATCACCCAAATAAAGAAAATCCCAGTGTAAAGCTCCATTGCGAATGTCAGAACGGTATAGCTCACCCCATGGTCTAGGCACCACCCTACCTTCTTTTACATGCTGGCAGAGCAAGCAGGAGCGCAGAAAACGACGACCTAGAGCAGAGAATCCTTCAATCGAAAATACACGGCGAATGTGGTTCAAGACCACGACTTCACCACGGTGACCCTGTGCCCCACAATGGGCGATGATCAGGAGTCGCTGGATGAGTGCCCTGGCTGCAGTAGGTATCCAAATACAGTCGTCAATTCGGTAGACACCATGTTCATCTGCAGCACTAGCAGTAGGAGCAGAAGCTGCATGAGCCTTTTGAATAGCCGCGATTTCACTCAACGTCGGCCACGTGAAGTTCTCTTGGTCAAGAGGCCGAAGCAGAGGCTTTCGAGAAGCTTGGGTCTCTCAGCGAGTCACTCGCTTGAAAATAGATACTGCAGTCGTAGATACCGTAGGAGTAGTAGCACCACCTCACCGACTAAGCATATCCGCCCACACGTTGTTGACACCCTCGATGTGAACGATAGTATAACGAAACTCCATGAGTTTGACAGCCCATCGAAGTAATTTTCCACGTACGTGCTTCTTAACTTCTTGCCCAGGGGCAAAAACATGGATGAGGTTTCGGTGGTCACAAAACACCTTGAAACCACCAGGCCTCAGCAACAGGTAGTCAAGGTCTTCGCAGGAGAGCACGATTCGTAGTGCCTCCTTCTCAATGACGCTCCAGTGGAGCTGAGCGCCAGTGAACGAACCGCTCTTGCATATCAGTAGCTCATGCTCCTGTTCAGTAATTGCCACTCCTTGTTTCCATTCACCCACTTGCGTAAGGATTGAAGCCCAACCGTAGTCGCTAGCATCTGTAAACAAGCAG